TGATGAAAAGATATTATAATCGGAGGGCCAATCTCCATTACATGAAATTAGGAGACTTTCTTTTGAAAATGGTGACTCAGAACACTCGAGAAATCAATGCTGTGAAGCTGGGTCCAACATGGGAAGGTCCCTACCGGGTTTCAACTGTCACCGACAAAGGATCATACGAGCTGGAAAATCAAGATGGACTCAAATTTCCCAGTAATTGGAACATGACTCACCTCAAAAGGTATTATTGTTAATGGATCCTATATGTACTGAAAGTATATGTTACATTATTTTTCCCTTCGACCAGTTTTTGTCCCAATTGGGTTTTTCTAGCAAGGTTCTTAATGAGGCAGCAACGGAAAGCATACTACGAGAGGACATCATCGACAAGGTTAAGACCTTTAAATGGAAAGATATTTCACTATGGGATGGTTAAATAATCTTTCTCTCGATGGCAAGTTCCTAATGGGAAACAAAACTTGCCATTAAACCAAAGACTATTTAACCATTCACGAGTTGTTTCCAATGACGAAACAAGACTTCCATTGTTCCAATTTCTATACGTTGCATTCGAACACTGGGGGAATAGTATTAGATACGGCAGCATGACACAAAAACCAGGAACTGCGAGAACAGGGAACAATAATGTCTCGCTCATCGGGGCTAGGGACTACATGGCCAGCCCCGTAGAAACAAGTTGTACAAGTTAGCCACATGTACTGGCAGTTTCTTTTTTTTGTGTAGAAAATGAATGCTTATGTACTTTTAAATATAGAAGTAATAAAATAAAGTCCTTTTATTTTTATCTTGCTTCTTGTCCAAATAATGAGTTGATTTTATCATTTGAAAGTTAACAAAAGCTTTAAATACATGTGACGGAATGAACAGGAGATGTCATCTTCAAGAGCACCGTAAACATAAGAGGTCCCTCTCTTATGAATCCCTCATAGTAAAGGGTTGATTCTGAAAGAATTTATACCCGAAATCAGAAGCTATCGAAGATGAAAATGTACCTGAAGCTTTAACTAATTCAATGCAAAACAATGTATCTTGCACAACACTTAAACCAAATTATTATTTATTTATCAAAAGTGCCAAACTCGATGAAAAGTTTGGCATAGTTACAAAAGTACAAAAAAACAAAGGAAAAATGTAAACATTACTGCCGTCGGAACCCGGGGGGAGAGAGCATCTACGTCCCCCTGGGGGAAGTGGGCAGATCATCCGCCGGTTCGGGGCCTGGGCCTTCGTCATCATTCTCTTCAATTTCATCCTCAATTCCTGAATACTTGGAACCGGTACTCGAATAGTCAGTTGCAGCAGGATGAGCAGGGAGACATTCTCGAGCGGTTAAGTCCAGTACTCGGGCCTTAGCGATGCAATCATCAATATCAATGATGCCCGCTTTGGACTCCTCCAAGGTTTTTCTCCTCATATGACTCATAGCATACGTCTTTTAAAATACGAGGAAATCCCCTTGGTGTTGGAGATTTTCCTTAAGCCTGTCAACCTAGGCCTGAAGGTCATCCCTCTCTAACCTCGTGGCGCCGAGGCTAGAATCAAGATCACGGATTGTAGATAGGTGAAGCCGATTTTCTCCATGATCTTCTTGAATCTCTCCTACATCCTGGCCCTCTTCTCCTCGGTGGCATTAGCCTCCTTGACTTTGGAGCTAAAGGTTGCCTCCAACTTATTCACCTATTCAACGAAGGCAGACTCGCGCTCAGAGGCAGCAAGCATAGCATCTAGAAGCTCAGCCCACTTAGCCTTAGCATCTTGGAGTTGTGCATGTAATTGAGTGTCTTTTTGGATGTGGGCCATCACTTCTTGCTCACTTTGTTGTAACTGGGCCTCAAGCTCTCCCACCTTAGCAGCTTTTGCCTCCAACACTGGTAGGCGCGCAACAAGTTGATTCCTTTCGGCCAACAGTTGATCTCGTTCAATCTTTGAAGGCCCTCGAAGGAAAGAAAGTTGTCCTATAAAAAGTATATCGAGGTTAGAAACCCTGTTACAACATATAAGTAGAAAACAAGCAATAAAAGAGCAAGTACGATACCTCTACCGCAATATGCATTGCACTATTCAATAGGCACTACCCCGAAAGGGAGTGTATTTTCTTCTTATCCTTATCTGAAACTAGTGGCTTCAGGTAGTTGGCAAGCTCCACCATCTTGGACAACGGATGGAACCCCTTTGAAACCAAAAGAGTGGCACTCTTCCTCCCTCGGGTATCTAGAGAAGAGGGTGAATAATTATGCCCCAAATTCCCGTGGATAGGATATTGGGGAGGAGAAGCAACCTCCTCTTGAATGTCCGTTGCTAGTGGAGGAGATGCAGCGGATGCTGGTGGCGAAGGTACAACTGGTGTAGAGGGGCATGAAGTTGTTGGCTTTGTAGGTTGAGAAGTAGCTGCAACAAGAGTAGCGCTGATTATTGGTTGCTCTGTATTCGAAGGCAGAAGAGGCCCGTGATTCGAATTCTTTGGACTAGAAACAGCAATGGGGATAGGACAATGGGAATTGGCATTATCTACCACATCCATATAGCCCCAAAGCGCTTGGACCTCTTCTACGATTGGGGTGTGAAGCTCCCTGGCTGAGCCTCTAGTTCAGCTAATGAAGATCTTTTTCTCCTTTGAAGGGAAGCCTCTTCATCACTAGCTTCCCCTTCATCTTCAACGACCATAGTGACCGTGGTCGGCTCGGTCGTGGCCATCTTTATTTTCTTATTTTTATCCCTAGCCGAGGTAGAATGCTGCCTTTTTGGTTGTTTGTTCTCTGGCTAGGGACTCTAAGAGGAAGCACCACTACCGGAAGCGGATCCGAGGGCACTGCTTCGAGCAAGGGAACTTTGTAGAACCCTTGCGACCTCCGCGGGGTCAGCCAAAATATCTGCCGCAGGGCAGGTGACAGAGCCCTGCAGGAGTCATGAATAGAGCAAAAAACAAAGTTAGCAAAGGTTACTTGTGTTCATATAAAGATAAAAGGAAAAAGGGCTCGATTTACCGTGGTTCTTGGCCTTCCACCCATACTTGGGAGCCATTTTCTTCTACTGCAGGTTTCTATCATTGTAATATCAAGAATCTTCTATACCCACTAGTCCAGGCCTTGAACTCGCGGTGATGTCCACCGAGTAGCTGTAACAATGGAAACAAAGAGATCAACAATGACGGAAAATGGTCTTTACGAAGGAAATAGATGAATAAATTACAAACTTACGATAACTATTCCATGACTCAGGAAACGATAGAGTTGTGGCAGGGATGATATCCCTTGTAGTGATGATGACAAAGTGCTCCATTCATCCACGGTCATTGTCATCATCCACACAGGTGAGAAGGGCGTGATGGCCATGTTGCTGAAATTTATTATCCCCCCACGGAAGATTTTAGGGGAGTAGAGATTCATCATGTGTGCCAGGGTTAGGGTTTTCCAAGTCTCCATGCACAACTAGTGTAGGCAAGTTACCATTCACGATATAGATGGGCTTACTTGTGCCAAGCAGACCTGGTACCGGTGGCAGAACTCCAAAATCACGGGGTCAAGCCCTCCGCTCAAGGAAAACGGGCCCAAGGTGAAGGGGTACGTATAGACATACGTAAAACCTTCCTTGGTGAAGGTAACCCGCTCTATCAATTAGGGGCAAGGATGTTAAGGGTTGGGTAGTTGCAGTCCTTCTTCACAATAGTAATACTGGAAGGGAAAATAGAGGACGTAGAGGGGAACTCCTATTGGAAGTCATTGACGATACTCGGTGTTTGGGTATCATGGTGCTTACTTTGGGAGGATCAGCGTCAATGTCAACTTCTTTGTCTTTGTTTCTCTTCGGGCCTCCACCGAAGAGAAGACCAGAGTTTCTAAAATATTCAATAGAAGAAGCCATGGTAATGGAATAGCAGTAAATTTTTAGAGAAAGTTAGAGAAGATGAAAGTTTTTTCTAAGCACGAGGAGCTTGAGTGCAGAGAAGATGATAAACTTATGAAAATCTTGGAAGTGAATGAGGTAAAATGATGAGTATAAGTAAAGATATAGACGGAAAAAATCGTGGCCATGATTACCTCGTGAACCAACAAAAATATTACTGAATCGTGTGGCAACACGCGTTTGGAGTATTAAATGCGAGAAGACGAGCGTCCTTTCAAGCGTTAGAGACTGTTCAGAAGATTTCCTACCAAGAAAGGGATCTTCACCATCTTCACGGTGACACAAAGATATGTCAACGAAAAGTAGGGGACTATTTGTATAGGATAAAATTGGTCCGCAATAAATGGGCAAGTGATAGCATGCCACGTGGAATCGAAGACATAGGTAAAAGACGAATCAAGTAACTATTAGTACCAAGAACAACAACTGCAGTAGGCACCGGATAAACCCCGAAAAGAGCCTAGTCAACGGGGGCAGTTGGAATGTTTGTCATCGGATAGCATTCAATGAAGAATATTCTCTATCATTAAATGGGCAGCCGTTGTAGAGAATATTTGCATTCATGGTCAGTTGTTACATATTCTTCAATGACTCTTTTATTGTCATTTAAGTGGGGCTTGATCCTAAGATCTTGTTCCCTGGGTATACTTATAAATAATAGGCTCAATAGCCATTGTAAAGACACAAAATTCTGAGCAAAACTTATGATGTATTCTACTTTCACTCTCAATTAAACAACTTTATTTGGTCTTTTATATTTCTCTCATTTTTGTCCCCGGAAACGCTGTCCTCAGAGCCAAGCTTGTCATTTTCTTCAATCTTAATTGCTAAGTCTTACTTTTAATCTTGTTTATTTATAATTTTTTGATCAAATTAGTTCTCTTGTATATAAACCACATAACAAATTCAATCGTACCGTTTTATGGGTAAACATAATTATAGTTACGTGTGTTACTTCCATGATATGGAGTAAAAGAACCTAATAATCTCCAACCTAGCATAAGGCACACTGGAAAAGTGTTCACCAGTAGTTCTTCAAAGTTGTTGGAACTTGTCAATGAAAAAAATATAGTTTGATAATTAAAAGATAAAAGAGCATAACTCCTTTTTTTCGTTGACCCTCGACAAATAACACAAAAGAAAAGGGAAATAAGCTAAAAGAAAGAAGAATAACTTCAAAACTGTTGAAAATATCCTCAAAAAACTAGTTTGTCTAATGTGTTTGAATGGCGAAAACTTTGTAAAATAGAAGCAATAACAAGAGACTCATCATCATCATTATCATTATCATCTTCTTCATTTTCAACCACTTCCAACTCTGGTGTTGACGGTGGTGGTGTCGGCGGAGGAGGTGGTGGTGATGGTGGTGGTTGAGAAGAAGGTGAAGGAAAAGACATGAATGGGTAAACAAAATTAGTACGTGCATTTTCAATACCACAAAAAGCAATAGAAGAAATATCATAAGCCAAAGCAGCTTCTTCAGCAGTATCAAAAGTGCCAAGCCAATGCCTTTGTTTTGTGTTTGGATTTCTAATCTCAGCTGCATATCTACCCCATGGCCTTCTTCTTACACCATGATATTTCGTTGAATGTCTTGAGCTTCTTCTACCTAAATTTCTAACATGCAATTGAGGAAGAATATTTTCCATTGTCCTTTTTTTTCTTTTTCTTTTTGCTTTTAAATGGGGTTGAGGTTTCTTGACTATGGAGGGATGGAAATGAGATGGGATTTATATACTTGTGAAATGACAGAAGCTTAATGGTGTTTATTAATAAAATAAGACCACTGATTAGCACTAAGATAAGCTAATTAATAAAAAATGAGTGTTCTGTTCTTATTTGTGGTTTAGTCAAGTGGAGCAAGTGGAAAAGTGTTAAGTACAAATTGCATTATTCCTTTGACGATTGTTTGTGTCAACCTTTACCCTTAATTTCCTCTATTTGACATGATTAGAGCAAGCATAATCCGGAATTTCTGAATTTCATATTTTTGGTTTGTTAATTTTTTCGCTCAAATTTGATATCTCTGCCTAGTGCCTCCCCTGTCACCCTATCATTTGTTTCCTCTCTTACATGTTCAGAGGCAAGAGTTTTAAGTACTTCTTTATGACAACAACAGTTACATCTCAATCCTAAACTAGTTAAAAGCGACTATATTAATCTTCAGTATTCATTACGCTCCATCTGAACAATCATGACAATACTACATAATTTATTTTCTAATACAAACCAGCAGGTCTAATCTATCACCTTTGAAACTCGTAACGTAAACTCGCATAAAGTGGTAATCTAGCACAGACGTCAAGTGATCATATGTTTACACAAGAAAATAACACTTGCATGAAAAATACGCGATTCGGAATGAATAGAATACTTATTTCCTTCATCCCTATTTTACCTCTATTTTATCTTCTTTTTTATTTGGAGTTAACCAAGTAAAACTCTTAGTAGAGATAATTCTTTGAATCAGTCCAAAGCTGAGAAGAAACTTGCTCATAACGGCTACAGCTATTTGGTATTCTTACGATTTACGAATGAGAACGAAAACTGTCCTTTTCTCTGTACAGTTCTCAAGGTTAACAGAGTGAAGTATCACCCCATATATCATTTGAGTTTCTAAATTGTGTATAAAATTGTATTCGTGTCCACATTTGCAATTCTTAACCAGCGTGGCAGCGGCTAACTAGTTGATTGCCATGAATAAATATCTTACAGAAATTAGCACTAAATTTACAAGATGCTACAAAATAGGGAGGTAAGGATACAAGAAGGAATTTCTTCATTGTTAATTTTAGGAATCCGCGACCCCCCCCACACACACACACACGAGAGAGAGAGAGAGACTACATGAACTCAACTAACCTATTATCAAACAATCATCACACGTACAACCGGAGTGACAATACTGAAACTACAACAGTTGCAAAATTGATACTGGACAATAAAATGAATACATATTTGGCAAAGGCAACTACCATCCGTATAAATGGGCTAATTAATCAGAACATATAAATACGTAGAAACTATAGTCCCAATCTGTACATTTATGATTAAGGCATGTACAGGAAATTTTCTTCAGATTGCAACAAACGACTTGTTGCAGCAGTTGGATTATGTCAGCTTTCGCCATATGGAATGTTTTGCAGCTGATAAGCACTTCACCCTGGGGAAAACAAAACCTGTCTTTGGGGGATTTCCATCCACCAGAGAATGTTCATAGATTTCTTTGCATTCTTGAACAACCTATTTCACAAAGAAATCCCCATCAAGAAAGCAATAAAGAGAAACCAAAGTTATCATCTCAAAGATAATGAACAGCCTTAGAGGGCTCACTAATATAAGGAGCCGCTGCAAATGCATGGGAACCAAGAGCTTAATGCTTTTGATATTTTTACAGGTAAATGAGTCTGGACACAAGTTCATTTAATTTAGAAACAGGTGCAGCAGAAAAGTAAAACAAAACCGAATCACAATACCAGAGCTCTTGCAATAGATGTTTAAAAGGGATCGACAAATAACTTGGAGAAGTCTCTAACATGGTTTGGTCATAAAGAAGCCTGACATCGACAAGATTCTGCTTTTATATGGAATGAATATATTTATATTGAGTAAATTTATTATCAAAAGTAGTGGCGAACAATGACTTTTGATTTTTAATGGCGAAAAAAGAAACGTTAAATCTTGTAGCCTTAAAGCATGGCAAATAATGGCAACTTACTAAAACATGTTAACCACTTCACTAATGCATTGGCAGGATGTAATGTGGGAAGTGCAAACAAAAGAACTAATAATGAGTAGCAATATCCTTTTCTCAGATAGTTCAAATTTTGAACTAAAATTTTGAGCGTGTGTGCCACTTAGATAACACATGTATACCTCTTTTGCATCTTTTCGAGGTATGCCTTCTCGCAGACCCACAATCTTTTCAACCACTTCTGGCTGCAGTTGAGAGTAACAATGCTCAATAATAGGGATTATCCAGAGACGCAATAGAACAACAAGATAATGATTTTAACCACCAGCTTCCACACAGTAGATTCAATTTTTAACTGACATTTAGGTTCATAATGATTCATAACTCGGTTTTGAGATTTCTTTGCATGGACAAGAGCAGACAAGAAAACTTACTGGACAGTCCGGTTGCTGTTCTAAAATATTTGTGTAAACCAGTGTGAAGGAATCAGGGCTCTCAGATGAAGCAAGTTCTCTCAAGTCACTGAGTATCCTTACTCTGTTCTCTACTTTCTGCGGTGTAAGTGAAAATTTGAGATTATAAAGAGAGAGAGAGATCATGTACTCCTTCTCCATTGACATACAACATCTTAGCCATAAAAAGACAACTTGGAAGTTACCAAAGTTAAGACAACATAACACAAGTGTATGTGCATACATATGCTTTGTGTATATAATTTAAAGCACCAGTAAAGCAGATCTATAAATTTCAATAGGAAAAATAGGATCAGTTAATTTTTTTTCTATAACTGAGAAATTCCGGAGCGCCAGCTAGCAAACGGTTTGAAGCTCGGTGGATAATGACCCCACCTCTCTACCTATTCCACTTATATCCAGGCGCTTATGTGTGCGGTAGGATTCTAATCTACAAATCACGAGCAACGCTCTCTTTCTCATGGATAGGTCATCACGCATTGCGCTCTTACCATTAGAGCAAAGCTCAGTGTCCAGTAGGATCAATTAAATTATGTTATGATTTCATTAACTAGCTTGAAGATTGAATTCATATCCTAATGATATTTTAGAAGTCACCTTATTTTTCTGTTGACAAGAAAATCTTTTATCAGAAATACAATATAGCATCATTTTTTTACCATATAATCTATTGTTGAATTGCAAAGAAACTATCCACACAAAACCCTTTGAAGCTGTTATGACTATAGTATATTTTTGAACCGAACACCTTTCTCTATCATCTCTGGTCTAATTTTCCCATCCTCACATAGGAGTGCATCTTTTTTTATAGAAAAATTGCGACCCCGCCTGCCTATGAAGAACTTCAAGTTTATTGGGAAAGGATACGGTAGTAAACCCTGCAGCTTTTTAGGACTGGGTGCCCAGCCATGTAGGAAGACTCACCCCAGCCACTATAGCAAAGCCACCCCAACTCTAGCGGAGAAGCACTCTCCACCCATTTCCATTTTTCCGTGAGCCAAAAAACCCGCCCACCCCCTTTTCTTGAGACCCTTAGTGATAAGTGACTAGTCCAACAATTAAAAAGAAACCTAACGCCGTGGACTTACTGGATGCAGTGCAGTATTTCTCTTTAATTCTTCTTACTACGGAAAATTTCCGATCTCCCCAATTCTCTTGTTAGTTGCCGACTTACTTTGCCTCTCCTTTAGCCATTAATTTCTGCATTTCATTCACATTTGACAGAGTTTGGTACGTCTATACCAGCCCAAATCCAGTTTCAAGGTATTGTCCGCTCTGAACCTATTTTGGGACCTCACGAGTTTGTCCCCTTGGGCTTTAAATGATGTTATCAAAGGCGAAAATCACAAAAAAGCTCTAAGACCCGTTAGGGCTTTAAGCGAAAAGCGCAAATAAAGGCGCAATTGGAGAAAAAATAAAAATATGTATATGCAGTCCAAGACCAATAATTATAAGCATGAATAACAAATATATGGACAAAAAAATTGAAAACAAAATTACAATAAAGTGATATATCAATTGTCGCATTTTCAGAATTACACTCATTGGCAAGGAAAAGTATGCCTTAGAGCCTTGATGCGACACTGAAGGGCGAAGCGCTCAACATGTTTTGAGCCACGCTTCAGGGCTTAAGCGCGCTTTAAAAGCGCTTTTGACAACACTGGCTTTAAGGCGCCTTAACACTTGAATCCTAACCTTATATTGCTCAAACTTTCCTCTCTCATTCCGATGTGGGATTTGCCTAAGACAAGTGTCGCAACGAACAGAGTTGAACCATGTTGTTACATTCACCTCCAATAGCAACTTAGCGTCCTCGCTGAGATTTGCCCAACCCTCGTACTAGACGAGGTACTGGCTCTGATACCACCCACCATGACCTAGAGGGGTGGGGCCAAAGCGGACAATACTTTGATATTCGGGCCTGGGCTTATCTAGGCAAGCAACAAAATATTTCTAGTATTTAAATTCAGTAATATAATATTCACTCGATCCTTCAAGATCTATAGAAGATATATTAGAGAATATATATGGCCTTTGCATCTCTAAAATGTTGCAAATCAAATGTGATTTATTAACAGTCGCATGCTTATCACGTGATATTATCGTAAAAATTGAACTTTGGTCTCCAGATAACTCGATATGGTATGTAAATGAGGGACTATAATCTAGCAAAAACATACATGAAATAAAGGTCGTATACTATATTTAATGTTTTACAATTCATCTTTTTAAAATACTACTTAAGATTCACAATGTTTCAAACCATTTAAAAGAAAAAGTCGTATGTGTAATACCCTGATACAATTTTAAATCACAACAAAGCTCAGTATTTTCTCCTGTTTGCAAAATCTTTTACAAATCTCTTGCTGGAAAATTGGGGCTAACTTATCCAATGTTCTCCCTATTAGTATTAAATAAGGTTATAAGCTAAAACTTAAAAAGTTAAGAGATTTGATGCCATCTATCTATTCTTTTTACATGTAGGGACAAAAAGTGGATTCAAATCCTTTCTTCAAAAATTTGTTGTACATAA